CCCAAAAAACATTTCAACTAGTACCAATTATTATAATTAAATATATTAAATATTTGGTGTAAATAGAGGTGTGAAAATCCAGTTAACCGAACCGGATTCATACTTTTCAAACTGAAGCAGTTTTTCGGTTCAGAGGATAATTCGAACCGAAACCGAATCGAATTATCCTTTGAACCGATTATCAACTGAACCGATAATTCGATTTGATTATCGGTTAACCGGTTTATAAACTGATTTTAATAAAATTTGAAATTGACCTTTTAGAATAGCCAGACATCAAATGAGTGCCTCAAAGCCGTCGATTTCAAATACCCCAAATCAGAATCTAGCACTTACACAAACCAACACCTGAAGAGACGCACAGAATCAGTCTCACTTAGTCTCATGGAGACTTCTCATAAACAAAAATGCAGACGCAGAGCTACCAAACATACCCTAAAGCTAAAAATCTACCAAACCATTGAAGAAAAAGAAGGCTGAAGTCCAATCATGGCGTTCTCTTCTCGCCTCTTATCCAAATCCAAACAGAAAAGTAGTGAAAGAGAAGAAATGGAGAAGACGAAAANTATCTTTAACTCCTTATCAATGCATGCTTTACATGATGACTTGGGAATCATACTTTTTAGGAAGATTCAAAGACATAACCATCAATTTATTAAGAGATTTGAATTACTTTGCATATCAAAATTTGGAGGAGCTATCTTAAGTTATAGTTGCAGTAAGTTAAGCTGAAAAAAAATATATAATTAATTGTATTATAATATTTGATTTCAATATCAAACACTATAACTATAAAGATATGGGAGTAAATTAAAGGAAAAAAAACTATCTTAATACTTTGCTCAAAATCATTATTTATTTATACAAATTTAGTGATTATATAATATATATATATATTACTAAAAAAATGATTAACATATAATATATGTTATGTATGAATTTTTTTATCCACCTACTTTGACAATTAATGTGATTTAATTTTTAATTAAATATCTATATAAATTAGTTTATTATTCCCTAAATGTGATATACTAAATAGTATCAATTATCAAATGGTGAAGGTAAAAAGGTAGTGGGGCTGAGCCAACATTTGAATATAGTTTGTAATTTTATAATTTAGTGGACTTTAGTGAGGGATACCTACTGGCCCACTTATTTTATTTTATTTTATTTTTAAAGATAATAATTGTGATTTTTAGGATATACTTTTTTCTGTCAATAACCCTCTTTAATTTGAGTGGTGTTAAATCTCTTTCTAAGCCTGATAATTAAAATTTATTTTAAAAATTGAAGTATTGAATATCTTATATTTCATCCCAAAATTACCCTTTCTCTAATTTTTTTTTCTTTCTAAATTTCTTTCTAGACAATACTATCTTTACTATTCAATCTTATAAACTTTTTCTTACAATCCCGACGTGACAGTTCTTAATTAGTCAATTCATAGGTGTGTTTTTCTTACCTAATTCCGAACTTACCCATTACTAGCTACCACGTTTGGGTTGTGAGAGAAATTTTTTAAGATTGAATTATAAATTAATCTTTATTGTTTCTTTATTAACCTCATCGTCCTTATTTTTTCCTCCTAAGTTTAATTTCCTTCCCCATTTTCATTTTTAATGAAGTCGCTTTCCTTAAAACATTATATTTCCTATTTAAATTCTTATACACTAGTATTGTTATATTATTAAACTTCAACTTTCATGAGAATTAATATCAATTAGCATGAGATGAATGTTAAAATAATTTTTCTTTTTCATCATTCTCCTATATAACATAAAATTAAACAGTTGTTTAAACAAGGTTAAACTAAAATTTTTAAATCAAACACTAAGCAAGAACAATTAATGGGAATATCTATTATAATTTTATTTCCATTGGTTGATTCCATCTTCCATCTCTTCAAAAAAGAAATTCAATTGTGACAACATAATTTCCAGAAAAAAAAAAGAAAAAGAAAAAAAAAAGTTTAGGGAATTGAGAAAAATAGTTCTGTATTATATGGGATGTACTAAGAGAATAAATGCCCTATTGGGTAATTACAAGTCTATAAGAAATATACCTTTTTAAAAATTATTATTAGAGCATAGAAAGAAATTTGTTGGGGCTTAAGTAACAACACTCTTTAATTTCATTTTATGTTTAACAAGTTTAGCCTTAAATAAAATTGCTACGAAGAACATTACAAGTTCTAAATATGCTTATACTTTATTTTATTTTTTACTTCTTATATAAATCTTGACTCTAAGGCTGCGTTTGGTCCGCTTTTGGGTATTAGTATTTCCAAAAAAGTTAAACAGTAAAATGTCATTATTTCCAAAATATTATTCTATATTTTTCATTTTTTTTAAACCTCATAAATTTGTTAATTTAACTAAACACCCCCAAATATATTTTTTTTAGAAATTGCAAAAACACTCTGCCCATCCTCCGGCGGTGGTGGCCGGCTGTTCGTATTTAATGGGTGGGTTGGGGTTATTTTTGTTAACTTTTAATATTTTATTATAGGAGTGTTTAGTAAATAAACAAACATAGGAGATATTTTTGTTAATTTTCAAATTCTACATCATAATACCCATCAAATTTAACTTTTTTCAAAAGATTATCCTGAAAACTATCAGAATAATGAATCAAACGGAGCCTAAGTATTTATAATCACTGAAAACTTTATTTTATCTCAAATATTTTTTATTTGATAAATATGTATTACTAAAACTATGGAGAAAGAAGGAAAAAAAGTCCAATGGGATGAATTTGAGGAAGAAACTAAGGTAAGTTTTAAATAACTATGAAGCAATTTATTTTTTTAAATGTCACCCATTCGATAAAAAAGTAATTTACTATTAATGCTTGAAAAATATTTATAATAATATAATAGTTCAAGTTAAAATTTTAAATAATGAGTTGGGATGATTTAAGTTTGGATGGTGTTATTTAAGTCCTACTAAATTTATGAGTAATATTAGGTTAGATTCACAATTCAATCTTACAACTTTCTTTCACAACTTCTAACATGGTAGCTCGTTATTGGTCAATTTATAAAATAGGTCCCGCTTGTTTGTATGTGCCGAGCTAACCAATGACGAGCTGTTATGTCAGAGGTTGTGAGATTAGATTATGGACCTAGCATTATTGTAAATTTATTTCTAAGCCCCAATAAAATTTTAATTTATAAATATCTTATATTTCATTTCAAAATTGCCATTCTTTAATATTTTTTCTTGTAAATTTCTTTGTTAACTCTATCATCTTTATTTAATAGATGAGGTGTACTAGAAATAAAATAAATGTCTTTCTTGATAATTATTATAGTTTAAAAAAACATATTTTTTTAAGAAATTAAACCCCTCTTTAAGGTTTTAATACATGCCATTATGCCTCAGCCCACTGCCCATTTAGACCAAAATGTATTAGAGCATCTGCAAAAGATTCTTTATATAACCCAAATTCTTCATTATAAAGAGTCTATTCCTAAAAATAAGAGTTCAATGTACTCTTTATCTTTAAAATATAAATTAGAGAGTGATTTTGACTCTCCATATTTAAAGAGTAAATTTCACTCTCTATCCTAATTTTATTTAATAAACTACAAGTTTCTATGCATTTTATTTATTAATTCTCTCTCCTATTAAGTCTCTTTATTAAAAATAAAGAGTATTTTCATTAAATTTAAAGAGTTTATTGGATTTGAATAAAAATTATGTTCTTTATATGTAAAAATTAATAAAGATATTTTTTATTTATATGAAAGATACTATTTAAAATAAAGAGGACTTGAATAATCATGTTGTACATGATGGCTTCTGCAATCGTACTTTAAGCATTGACATGACCATGTTATGAGCACCTTGAATAAATTAAGAAATTATAATTACTTTGTATATCAAATTTAGAGGTTCTGTTGCATTTTGAGTTTAAAAGATAAATAATTTATTTTTTTTATCATAATTTTTTCTTTCAATATCAGCACAATAACTATAAAGATACGGGAGGAAATCAAAGAAAAAGTTTTTATGTTTTTACATTACAAATCTATTTAATTCATTTAGATGCATTGGGATCTATTTATGCAGGCCAAAAAGTTTTTATGTTTCTTCAGTTAATTGATAATAATTTAGATAAGTATATGTAATATATTATTAAAATTTTCTTGATTTTTTAATAGCTCCAACCAAACTTGAAAAATAAAATAAAAGAACTATATTTTGTTTTCTTTTATTTAGCATTTATCATATAAATGTAGGTTGTTATTAACTTATTATGCACAAAATTGTTGTTTTACTAAATAAAATAAAATAAAAGTGATATGAATAAAAACTATTATTTTTTGTTTAAATTCTTTTTCTGTCACATCTGCTAATTGTCTCTTTGATAAGTAAAGCAATCTTCCATAATTAAAATCTTAAAAATATATTTTAAATACATTATGCTAAAAATATTCCAATATATCCAATACAAAATTCAATATGTCAATACTTGATCAAATGAAAACAATTTATTTTTATTACATATGTCATTTTTTTTTCTTTCTTTTTGGAAATTAAATCAAATAACAACAATTTGCATTGTTAACAACCTTGTAAATCCCATAACATTCCATTTTAAACTAAATACCCTAAGGTTAAAAATAATCTACTATATATATGAACCCTAAAACCAGTACTGTTATTACCATCTAATAAAGTTTGTAAATGTGTAAATATGTTGGACATTACTTTTAGTTAGTTAATCTCTAGGTATTAATTGAGAGTAATTTGAACACCTCTATAAGTTGTACCAATGTTATATACATTTACAAAGTTGAAATCTTAATTTTAAATCTCAATTAATGTAATTGTCAATATGATTAATTAATGGGATAATATTATTTTCCTATGATTAATAATTAATGTATAGCTGACACATTAATGTTAGGATTCAATTTTGTATATGAAATATTACTGAATGATCAAAGGTTACAAAATAATACTTCATTATATATAAATTAAAGTAATATCACATCTACATAGGTTGATTAAAAAGAAGAAAAAAAAAGGAAGGATTAAACAAATATTAGCAAATTTCATCAAAGATATTGATGACTTGCCTTTATTATTGGGCACACACAAAATAATTAACAACATGAACAAATTAACTAATCCAGTTTTGCTGCACTAAATCAATCATCACTTGTGTCTGCATGGATATGATAGGTAGCTTGAGCTCGATCCAGAAATGTATAACACAAATTCTATGAGTAGTTGCACATCCCATACGTGCATGAATACCCTTTTTTGCACTTCTTGTTGCAACCACCACAGTGCTTCTTGTTGAACATTGTATTCACACACTCACCTTTACAGCAAGTCTCCGAGAACTTACACTTCTTCCCACACTTGCCGCAATTGAGCTCGTCTGTCAACACGTTTACACATTTCTTCTTGCAGCAGTATGGCCCCGGGCTCCCCTTGGCGCGACAAACTCTAGGGTATTTGTCACACGTCCTCATCTGAAGCCGAGGAGGCTTCAAATGGGCGGCAAGAAAGCGACTGGAACCACGCAATGAAGTTGTCGACTCTTGCTCATTCGATTGTTCTTCTTCTTCTGATAGTGTTGCCGCATCAAGGAGATCAGGAATTATGATCATCATAGCCACGAGCATTGCCAACTCAAGGAACAACATGAACTTAAAGGACTTCATGATGAGTTAATCGATTGTTTGGATGTGGGGAAGAATGGAGGATTCGTTGAGGTATTTATAGAGATAAAAGAGGTTTGGATGTGGGGAAGAATAGAGGATTGGTTGAGGTATTTGTAGAGATAAAATAGGTGCACTAGCAAGCAAAATGAATGGGGGTTGAAGAGTTTCAAAGTGTGCGGATTGTGAGTGGAGTGGTCTAATTCAAAGGGCTAAAGAAATTGAAGTAAACAAAGTTAGGCTGTAGGAGAAATATTATAGTATAAATTAGGTATAATTAGCTAGGGAGGAAATCCAAGTTCGAGATTTGCGTAACAAAGTGTAACATGAGTCTCCTCTTGCTAACAATTGTCTTTCATTGAATTCGTTTTCGAAATATTATTAATATTAATGAAGAAATTATAGGATTAAGCAATTTTATAATTAAAGGAGAAAGAAATATAAGGAAAGAGCTGGCAACTATGCTTTTTGTGTTAAACTTATTATAGAATATCATTGTAGTGCATATCATTGTCAACGAGATTGAAATTAGAAACACATAAAGAAAGAAGTCAGCTGACGTTAATTGCTATATACAAGGAATAATGTTCTAAACAAAATTAATTTTATTTTCCTTAACGTAACATTTTGTACAGAAAATTTTGATATCTTAACCATTTCTTTTATTTTTTTTTTTTTGGTGATCGGGATGTATAAACCAGCTTATGCGTACCTCAACTAATCATCTAAGATCCTGAAGTTAATAATTAGATAAGTCTCTAGTAACCATCTCTATTAATATTTGTGAGAACTGGAATTCAGAAGTTTATAAATCCTTCTTTTGATATTTTACTATCAGGTTATCTAGTGTTTTTTTTTTTTTTTTTCCTAAGATCTAATTTAATCTACCTTTGTATACGAAAAATCAAGTGAAAATTTCAGTATATTTAAAAATAATTAGCTTACTTACATTAAAAAAAAAAAAAAAGACATTGAATAAAGGCAGGTTCCTATGGTCATGAGGTCATCGAAACCAAAACCAGCTGAACTGAACAAGCTCTTTAATTACTATTTTACTTGTTATCAAACCGTTAAGAAAGCACTTTCATTAATTCTATGATTTGACCTTTTTTTTTCTTGTACGCAAATTTGACCATATTGTACATAAATGCATTATATTAAAGAATATCCCGAGGTGCAAAGGCTTGAGCCACTCGGCTAGGGTCCGTCATCTGTGCCCAGTTGGTTAAAGTATTTAACCGCGTGTCGAGCCCAGATGGACCACATTCCGTACAGTCGGCTGTTGCTCCAATTCAGAATTCGTTGTTTTAATTTAGTAACCGATGCTGGATTTATTATTATTATTTTTTGTTCCAGTTTAAGTATATAATCATTAATTATAACTTATCTTATAGATTTTCAGTAAATATAAGAATCGTGTAACTTTATAGTATCAAATACTTTATTCTTTAAAGATTAAATACATTTTTTGAGCCTTGAATTAAGCTTAAGACCTAAGATACTAATCTTGATGATTGTAGTTGAATGTGCAAGATAATATTAATGGGTTAAGATGATTTTTTTAGTTAGAAGAGTTGACTTTTTAATATGATGGGTCAGACTTTTAATTATGTTTACCGAGAAGTAAAAAAGTTTGACTTAATTTACTCCCAGTAATTAGCTTCTATATGATATAATTAGTGAAAAAGATATAATATTTGTTTGCATGCACTCCTCGCGTCACTAAATAAAAAGATATGGACAGAGTAACCTCATAAAAGTTAAAAGGATGAAATTTAATTTTTTTTCCTCCAGATAATTAGTATAAGTTTTCGTCATACTTTTAATTTCTTAGTGAATTAATTTAATTACTTGGGTTATCAAGTGAGGAGTTGGTAAAAAAGTGAGTACTTCGTAAACAAGGATATGATAGATTGTTAATACGAAATAATATAATAAAGAGCAAACATATGTTTTCACCCCAGGTTTAGCGAAATGGTAAGTTCTCATATCTGGTTTCATATATTTCAAATTTCCACCTTTAAATTAACATTGTTATTGATTGTTGAGTTTTGACACAGATGCAGAATATGCTATTACCAAACTGCCCTCTCATCTTCTTCTTCTTCATCTCCCCCTCCTCCTCCCGTCTTCATGCCCTCCCATTTCTGGCAAAAACCAAACACAGAAACACTCCCAAGCTTCAATTTTATAAAAAAAACCCTAGTGTGAGAGGTGGCGGCAAACGATGGGCTACCATGGTCGAGAAGATTGCGGGTTTTAAAGGGAAGGCACCGGTGAGTCAACGGGTGATGGTGGCAAGGGTTGCCGTCGCCAGAATCAGTCGGAATTCGGTAAAAGATAGTCGCACTCCAATTCCCTAAACATACAGACTCATTTGGAGCCAATGATCATTTACAAACATTTTCATTCCTTTTATGACAACTTGACAATATAATTAATCATAAAGGAAAAATTCAATCTCTAGATTTCTGAGGTAATTCTATATTATACTTAGGGGGCAATTGGTTTAGAGAATGTTGTATTATTGAGAATGTTATATTAATGGGAAGATGTGTAACTTTGAAGATTATTGAGAATTTTATTAAAAATATGTTTGATCAAATAAGATTAAATTGGAGAGTATGTTATATTGATATGTTTGGTTGGGAGAATAAATTGGTGGGTATGTTATATTTTATGGTTAGATTACTAAATTGTCCTTATATTTTAATATTATTATTGATTTTTATTGTATATTTAACCTCAACATTTTAGATTTAGCTAAAACATCTCGGCAACAAAAAAAGTTTAAAACTTAATAAAAACACCCCGGCCACCTTCTTAGGACTGTTGGCCGTCGGCAGTTGCCTGAATGTTGCATAGCCAGTCAGATCTGGCTGGCTATGCGTTGGTAAGGTCGTTTTTGAGCATGGATGATCCATGGTGATTTCACGGTCACAGATCTGGTCGGAAACAACCTTACTAGCCCACGACCGGTCGTGTGCTATTCCACTTACTAACAGTGGCGGTTGACTATGGTGGACAATCCTCTTGAGTGGTTGGGGTAGTGGCTGGGGGTGGTTATGGTCTTGGGTAATTTGGTTGAAGTGTTAGGGTAATTCTATCTTAAAAATCTTGAGTATAACACTAAAATTGTCCATAAATTTTTTGTAAATTGTTTAAATAACAAGGGCATTATTATCCTAAAATTTTATTAATAAGGTAAAATTGTAATAAAAATAAAATTATCAAGTAATGTCAGAATACCTAAAAAAATGGTAGTATTCAGATTATCACCTATATAACCAACATTGATTACTATTGATTTTGGAGGATTATCAAAATCTTATATTACTTGACAACCAAACATGTGTAATGTAAGTAATATAAGATGACATTAACTTAATCATGGGAGATAACCCCCAACCAAACAACTCCTTAAAGATATTTATTGCAAGATATGTGTTTTCAGGGTTTAGCATGCCAACATCGGTTAATCAATAGTGAAAGTATTAAAAAAAAATTATTATTATTTTTAATGTAAAAAATTTTGATTTTTTTTTTTTTTTTAAATACAGACGCGCACACAAACTGCATATGAAAGGGTGGAGATGTAGAAAATATGTGATGTCGGCTCTTAGCAAAGATACGGAGGCTTTGTTTACGAGATCAACGCAAAGCCCACCACGTTGCCAATTATTTTGTTTTTCTAAATTATAGATTGAATCAGTTACATAAGCACTTCTAACTAAGAATTTTGACTTCATAAATTGGTTAGTCAGAATATTTGGGCAGTGTTTGGCTATCCTGCATATTGCACCCCTTATCAGTCATCACACCTCGTAGGCTGATTTACCATAAACCTTTGACACATTTTGATATAGATTTGATTTGTATTTTTTGGTTCAATTCACTACAAATGGTGTTTATGTAATTCTCTACTCAGATTAAACACATTGGATACTCTGATTTCGGGAATCTTTGAGATTTATTTTTCTATCTTACCATTGCAATCTTACATTTAAGAGAAATTGATCGAATCTTTGGCTATTCGACAATATCATATCAAAGACTAATTTTTTGGGTAGTTAAAAAACGTCCATCCGTGACAAATAGTATCAAATACAGTGAAGATAATGTCCGACTTAAGCTTATGACTTCACACTTCTACTAGTATTAAATAGATGGTGGGTGCTAGAGACACTCATCCTTATAATAGTACATGTACAAGAGACAAAAAAGACGAACAATAAATGCTTATTTCCTTTTTCATTTCTTTTGTCTTTTTATATACGTGTCAAATGGTTAATGGGGAAGTGAGAAAGAGAGCGTTTTCAAATTAAAATTGCATAAATTTAGAAGGAAATGGAGTACTAGTGCAGTAACTGTTTAATTTTCTTTTACAGGATGAAGCTAACAACTGCATAAATTCAATATCACTCAAATTTTTAAGTAAAACGAAAGCATTACACTGTTATAATTTGAAATTAATCAAAGGCTCTACATCCCTTGTCTATAACTTATGCCCAAATAATCTATATAATTTCTATGGCATAAACTCTTTAAAGGGATTGGAGTTGATCTATGATTTCTATGGCATAAACTCTTAAATTCTTCTGAGTTAATCTATCAGTTCTATGGCATTCACAGTTGTAAATTTTCCCTCCTATGCTATGGTACTATGGATATCCACAAACATATATACATTTTCTGACTATACAACAGTAAAACGGATGAACTAGATCATCTAGGAGAGATTTCTCAACTATTCTTCATCTGGATTTCCATATTCCAAGTAATAGTCTCTCAATTTTGGACTGATTTCAAACTTACGTTCCTTGTACTTTTCTTTTTTCTTATTAAACTTCTTCAAAGCTTTCTCAAGAGTTGTATTATGTTTCTCTTTTCAGCACATGAGCTTACCTAACTTCAATTTCTTTTCTTCAATTTGGTTCAATATTTCTGTACTTTCTAGAGATGGAAGCATATCCACCTGCCCAACAACTGGAAAACATATGGTCGGATTCCTGAAAAGACATGATCAAACAAGATAATGTTTAGCGGTTGTGCCTGTTAGCTTAAAGTAGCAATTGTAACTAGGCAACGACTCTCATTAATGGGGAATAAATTCTACAAAATTTTAATGGAAGTATTGAAAGGGAGAAAGAAACAATACATACCAACGCCCAAGACAGATAAGTCCATTCTCTTTCAAAATCCCGCCATCTAGAGATATAGCACCATGCTTTATACAAGCACGAGCCTCTATCATGTCTTCACGGGTTCTGTAAACTTGAAGCTCACCGAAGAGTCGGTAGAACAAAGTCTCCCTGAGACCATCACCTGCATCTGTTCCTTGTGTAAACATAATGTTCATCTAGGTCAACCATATTAACCGCATACCCCATAAAACCTGGTGGCGTGTCCCCATATGGTAAAATAGGTTCTGGCAAGGCCAGCCTCCTCTGAGGGTCACTGCCATCCAACTCCCCTGTGTATGGCCTGCAATAAAATTAATCATGTTTGAAAATTGAGACATAACATAAATAAGTTCCAAAGGCATACAACATCTTTTTTTTTATAAATATTTCTGATAGCTTTGGAAGGAAATTAATATTAACAGTGACTATAAAAGTGTTTTAAGGGAGAATAAAATTTCCCACACAAGGTTTTGCTTAAGTGATTTTTCCCACCTGGAAGGTTTGAAAAAAACAATTTCGCACCCACTGTTAAGATCTGTTAGTAAAATCCGTTAATTGACACGGTACTGTCACTGTAAAGACGAAAATTCCATTTACTTCCTTCAAATCCACTCTCACCCCTCTAAACCCTTTTCTTCTCCGAGCCCAGCTCCAATCACCACTCCAACTCTGGTGAGATCTGTTAACTACCACCGCCATCGACACCAACACACTAAAAATCAACCCATCAACAATAAATCTCAATCTAAATCAACACCACCTAAAAATCAACCAATATTAACTGAAATCAACAATCAAAAAAATATACCCTAAAATCCAACAACCCAAATTAACTAAAAATTATAACAGAGAAAGGAGGTAAAAAGATTGAAGAACGCTGGCGCAATGTTTAAAATGGCAGCCTTGAACGTCACCCCTAAAGATTGGGACTTGCGGCCTCCCATCGCCCCCAACAAACTCCCACCCTTATCCCCAATCACCTTTTGTCCTCTGCTTAATGAGAGAGGTTTAGGATTCGGCCGAAAAAAATCAAGGAATTTTTTTCCTAGATTTAAGAAACAAAAATGAGATGTAAGAGGAAGAAGATAAGAAAAGGAAAGGGAAGAGAAATGAATAGAGAGAGAGAAGAGAGAAGAGAGAAAACAAAACAAAACAAAAGGGAAGAGAAGAAAGAGAGAACAGAGAGAGAAAGTTGTTGGTTGCGCCAGTGCCGGCAGCTGATGGCATCTGTCTCTCTTTGTAAAAAGGAGTTGGAGAGAAAGCTAAGAGAAGAGAAGAAAAGTGTTGAAGGAAGTGGGTGTGGGTGTGGGTGTGGGTGTGGGTGTGGGAATAGAGGCAAGGAAATGGAGGAAGTGGGTGTTTGGAGAAAAGGTGGAGAGTGAAAAGAAGAACATGAAGAAGAAATGTGTTTCTGAGGAGGAGGAGGAGGATGAGAAGCGGTGGTTGGGGTTGGGAAGAAATATAAAAAGGGGGTTAATGAAAAAAAAAAAAAAAAATACTAAATTTATCATTCTCAGTTAAAGTTAACGGACGGCTCTCAGCTATGGATGGAAAATTGTTTTTTTAAAACCTTGGTGGGACATTGTCATTCTCCCATTTTTAAATTGCAACTAGGACACTGAGTATAGCACCTCATATCCTCATTCCTCAAGGCAGATAACAAGAAATCGGCCAACTATATACTTTCCACGTTCAGCTGCTTTTCCATGTAGTCCATGTGTATAATTAACATCTCCACTTTTTTCATACTCCTCAAGAGCACATGCTGCTCTGAAGGATCTACAGACCAAAGCAAGCATTTGATCTTCACCCAAGCACTCCGCTAACATCCTAAAAATTGATAAAGCAGAGATTATAAACCACAGAAGACTAATGGACAAGTAATCATTTCAGTTAAGAAATTTGAAGAAAGCAACAGAATGGTGACCTGCTAAGCTTGCCGGTCCAAGCTCTTCCAATAAGTGCTACAACGCTGACAATATCTTCAATGAAATCAGTCCTTAATTCTTGGAGTGGAAACTCTTTACCAACACAACAGAGAACAGCAGCGACAGATTGACCCCTGCTTTCAATTCGTCTTGTTATTTCCTCTTTTGTAAGCAAGGAGTATGGATCAGTCAAAATGTGAGGTTCAGTTGAAGCTGGTAAACAAATCAACAATAAATCCATTTTCAATTTTCCACCGCATTTGTTGTTGGAGCCACATTTATCAATACATTGAAAGTAGTGCTTTAATTTAAGTATTAAGTGGAAAATAAAACCAAATTTCTAACTATTTGATTTTACATGAACATGAACATTAAAATTAGACCATTATTCTTTTCTCCTCCAATGAAGTTTATATCTTGTGGACCAGAGTTAATAATTTTAACATAGAACTCAAAATAGCTTAGTATCATGCCAACAACTTTTTGTAGTACCACAAATATCCTGCAAATTGCCAGTCGTACAAAGTTTAATTGCCACAGAATTCATATCAAAATGTTTTTGCATCCTCATCACAAAGAAGTCATGACATAGACAGGTAACATTATTATAAGTATTACTGGAGAACTTAACTTTTCTCAAACAAATATTATTATTTCATCAATGTTGTAATGACCACCTGCTATTGTAGCATGGCAAAGAGCGACAAAATGTGCCTTCAAGTCCTCAAAATAACAAAGAAACTTGTGATCCTCAATTAAAGTGTCTACATATGTCCTAAACATTTAACTCTTATAACAGGAACCAAAACACACAATGTCCCATACACACAAATAATAATGTTTAGGACATTATTAATAATATGTCCTAAACATTCATATTATTAATAATGAATGAGAAAGAAAATTATGTCAGTCAAAACCTTGCAATTGAGAAAAGACTTGCTCAACTTCTGCCGTTTGATCATTAACAATTTTCAATGCCATTTCATGATTCTTGATACGCGAACGATATTTACAAATTTCATTCTCAGGTTCCAGTCCAAACAACTAAACAACATGTGGCACATGAAAACAACTCAGCTAAGTAGTTATGTTGAACACTAATGGGGACAATAAAACACAAAAACAATAGCAAAAGTTCTTTTACATGAATGAAATATGGAAAAATTCAAGTCTTTTTTGACCAAGGCATTAAAAACAAGAGAAAAGAATCTCTAGCCAGAACAACTAAATCAACGGCAATGAAGCACTATTCTAACATAAAAAATGTATTTACATAATAGAAATATGTACATTAGAAATATTTCATCATCAAAAAAGCATTTAAAAATTAGGACCATATTTGTAATTACATGCTGAAGCTCCTGCAACAAAAGCAATCCAAACAAAAAACTTGGACTAAAACCAATTATCAATTAGTAAGCAGCATCACCACATTTGGCACGTGACAACAACTCAGCTAAGTAGTAATGTTGAACACTAATAGGGACACTGAAACTCAAAACAGTAGGAGAAGTTTTTTTTGAAATTTGGAAAACTCAAGTCTTCTTTGACTAAGGCATTGAGAACAAGTGAAAAGAATCTCTACCTGGAACATATGAATCAAAGACAACGAAGCATCTATTATAGCATCAAAAATGCATTTACATTTTAGAAATAATGTAGAGATGGAATTTGTCACAATACCTTCTCAGTCTTTATGATGGATACCGCGAGGTTTCCTACATGTTTGAGGGGAGTTGAGCCCTCGAGAAGTAGTAACTTTCCATCAGAATATGAGGGTATCTCACTAGAGTCCGTTTTTGGACTTTGCAAAAGAGGAACCTGCACATGGAAACCAATGGTTAACAATTTAGTATTGGTGGCTGAAAACTGATCATCATAAAGTGTTAATACTAAAACTAAGCTCTTACGATTACAGACACCCAACAGTGGACACAAGAGTCATTCGATTAAAGAAGTTTGCTAAGTGTTTTTGGTGGATTTCAGGACTCTTACTATGTCCCGATTTCTTTATTTTCTAATTCATTCATAAATAAATAAAACTATATAGTAATTAATCACCAACATAAAATTTGTTGTAATCTTTATGCTTAGATGTAGCTCTGTGTAACGAGAATGCACAGCTACTAAGCAAAAGCATCCCTCACACTGAGGAAGAGGAATAGCAGGAACAGTGTAGCGCCCATGCCTGAAAGCATACCGAATTGAATCTTCTTTGCCAATGGATTTTGACTTTATCATGAGTGTATGGGATTGGCCACCTTTCTCATTATCATGGATAGTTGCGTCAACATCACCCTTGGAATCAACAACCCCCAAAACTATATTTTCAAGTTGAGAACCAACAAGACAACATTCAGGCACTTGATTCTATACACTATTAGTGAAAAGGACATTTAAATTTCCAATAATTAAGCGAAGGGATGGCAAAAGTAAAGCACAATAACCCAGAATACAATTCTCAGTGCCCTTTTCTGAGTTCGAAACTCTTGATAGAAAATGACTTCATTACCAAATAAAATAGAAATTGATACTGCAAGGCAAGAAATGTTAGAATGCAATCACTGGACAAACCTAAATCCATTGATACAATTAACGATCGTAACATTTAACTATTCATAACTATGTTCTCAAAATTCTAAATTTTTTTGTAACATTTAACTTTTCATGATCAATCAAATTATCCACAAGAAGCAAAATCTAATAATTTCAGATAAGATTGTTCCTAGAGATGGTTATATTAAAAAGTCAAATGTTTTTCCTTTTTAGCTAGACAAATAAAAGCAAAAGCTATGAAGTGATGAGTGACTAAGAATTTTCCATCAACCAATGTCTTGATCCTTGAAATTACAGTATACAACCAAAATTTGGGATAATCAATACTAGATAGCACTAAGCTTTTAATATGTTACTGTTTCATTGGACTAATATTAGGCTTTAGGAATAAAATAAGATCATTTTCTTTTTCATACTTGCAAGTAAATATCCAAAAAAAAAAAAAAAAAAGGCAGTTAGATAAAGACACATACCACTTTTTCCATAACCAGCTATTACTTTCAAGAGGCCACTAAGGTCAACACATCTATAATTGTCCACCTATGTTTACAAACTTTGTCAAGACATTCAGATCATGTAATAGACAAAAATGGTAAACTCCAAATGCAATAGAACCTATAAGCATAATTATAGTATTAGCTTATCATGCATAAGATGTCAGATAAACAATAAGAACAGGCAGAAGCACATCATATTGTCGTATAAGGGAACAGGAATTTGATTAACTCTTTGAACTCTTTGAACATTACTAATTTAGGCATGCTTACTTTCAAATGGGCCCTTAGGGTGTCTTTGTTACATCATACTGCACAACATTAAAACTTTAACATTACATGGCCTAGTGCTTGGCCAAGTTACAGATTCATTTTGAACTTAATCAGCCTACAATACAGTCCCAAATGCACTAATGTGAATGGGAAGTAGGAGTTGGGACATGCTGTATTAGCAAAACTAGAACTCTCATACTATATTAGCACTCATTAAAGAACCAATGTGTTGGAGATGAATGAATTATTTGTCAAAAACACAATCTTAATATAGGAAATATTCTGACCTTACGCTTTATGCCCAATTGGTCTTCAAATCGAAATCCATCCAAGTTCAATTCAACTTCCAAACGTTTGCTAACATGATTATTATATGCATCAAACATCTGGAAGAAACGAATGGTTAAATAGGCTAGCAAGTATGCCAAAACGCCACTCTCAAAAGCTATACAAGTTTCCCTGACTTAAAAGATAATACATTTCTTTGACTGTTGCAGGTTGAGCCAAAAAAAATCTTTCTTTAAATGTTATGATGAAGTACCTCAATATTCCATAAAGTGTTGTAAATCTCTAATTATGCTAAAAGGAAATTAATAATATCAAGTTTTTGCACTGAAATCAAAGATTAACTGTATACACTAAGTACCATGAGTTACATAAAAATACGTTGTGAAAATAACATATGCAGTATTAAAGAATATAACAGATACCATTGATGCAAGTGACATGCTTAGGTTGTCAAATAACATATAATTATATGTATAATAAATTATGTTTCCAGTACAATATATACCATGTCAATATATAAGAATTAACTTTATATTGAGTTCAACTAAGCCCCTCCTCTATAAGATTAATCTTTGAGACTATTGATTTGTCAACCACTCCAGTTTGCTTCATTAATCTACAATGTACTTAATTACAATAATAAAACATTACAAATTTTCGAAAATTAGTCTAGCCATGAAAATTATAACATCCCCAAAATACCTCAAATTTAAGCTGCTTAACCACAGAGCTTGGAAGCAAATTGTTCCCAAAATTTGGTGATCGGATAATGACGTGCTTTAAAGATCCAAGAATAACTGATACATATATATAAATCATATATAAATATATGAGTAAAATGGCAAGATGATGTTAGAAAAAAGGTTGAAACAGGTTATAGATGCAAATTTGTTAAGATCATTGGAATACCTTGACATGGAATTGACACTGACGCCAATTCATCTTGTGGATATATCACCAAGGTAGCCTTATAATGTGGCTGGATCTTGTCCATCTCATAGCTTTCAATCAGAATATCCTGTAGAACTAGGATAACGTAAACAAAGAGCCACTACAAGAAAACTAACATTTGGCGTCAAGCAAAATTAGACGCAGAAAGTAACATTTAGACGCTAAGCCATTTTTTGCGTCTAAATTTCGTAGTCGCCAGTTAGTTGCAGTATCGCTGTCGTAGATTCCTAACGTGTCTAAATTGTTGTTTAGACACAGAAAGTTTTTTTTAGTGACCAGCAAATTAGTTGCTAATAGCTTGTCAAAATAGTCCCCCAGCTAGACGCTAATAGTTCAAGGGTAATTTGGTAAAATTGCATAGCGACTAATCAATTAGTTGCAAAATATACCTTTTAGTGTCTAATAATTTGTCGCGAATGCCACAAAAATTACACGCCAAAGGTGTAAGGGTAATTTTGTCAAAGGTATTCGCAATTATTTGATTAGTCGACGAATGTATCTTTTGGTGACCAAAATTTAGTGGTCAATTGTTATACTTTTAGACGCTGAATGTAGAATCCAAACGGTTTTCGCGTCTATTTTATTAGTGACCGAATGTATCTTTTGGTGACTAAAATTTAGTAGTTAATTATATTCATTTTAGACGCTGAATGTAGAATCCAATAGGTTTTCGTGACTATTTTATTTGTGGCCGAATGTATCTTTTGGTGACAAAAAATTTAGTGGTTAATTGTAATCATTTTAGACGTTGAATGTGAAATCCAAAAGGTTTTTACGACTATTTTTTAGACGCTGAATGTGAAAGCATTATACTAAATTACTTTTTGCTACTAAAACATTAGTTGCAGAATGTGTTTTTTAAAGGCATTTCATGTCGACCTTCAGTGGAATGCAATTATGCTAAATTACTTGATGCTACTAAAAAATTAATTGCAGAATGTGTTTTTTTTAGAGCATTTCGTATTGACCTACATTATACATTCAACATCAACTATTCAATTGACACAATATAAAATCTGATAAACTAAACAATCAAATATCATATTTTCACACACACACACACACCACACACACACAACACAACAAATAATATATATATATATAGTCCATACATGGATTTTTATGCATGATGAGCAATAAAAATCCAAAATGCACTATCACATGTGCATAACCAAAAAAAACAGCATGCACCCACATTTTCAGCCCACTACCTATCTATCTATGCATAACTAACAAAAAAATGCCCACCCAACGTACACCATCTAACATATATATGCAAACAATCCTAAAAAGATGGTTTTACCCCCATTTCAAAATATCTACTGCCATACAACGGAAAAATAACCATCAATACCGTTAACATATCAAGTGTCACCAGTTGCGGTTTTTGAAATAGCTGTAGCTGATGAGGACGAATCTTCATCAGTTGGAGATGGCAATGGCTGTCCAGTTGGAGCTCTATGAGGTTGCTGTAGTTCAAGGGCTATAGTTAGTTGCTTCATCATGTCCAACATGACAAATTGTTGGTGTTCAAGCCTTTTTATTTTCTCTTTTTGATGATCAAATAAGATGAGCTGCTCCTTCAACTCTTTAATTTTATTTTCTTGTTGTTGCACAATGCACCTTAACTATGCTTCTGCTGCAGTGGATTGATGCTTAGTCTGTGAAAATGCAAATTTTTGGTTAAATCCAGAAGGTTTACCCAGAACTTCCTCACATATTTCAGCTTCTGTTTTTTCACTTTCCCCTACTTGTGTTTCATCTTGTAGCTCTATCATTTTTTCCTACCATCAATTCAATGCATAATCAATAAGTCAACCAACAAACTATATAGCAACATAAAAGAATAATGCAGCACCAAACAAAAATAAATTTGATGGAGTAGAGAAGCAAGTATCTAAAACATTATCAATCTAATACTAAACAAACATATAAGCAATAGATTTACAGTCACATATCCATGCATAAACATGCTAATTAATTGGAAAGATAAGGCTATTGCATTTTGTAAATATCATAAAAGTGATGTGGCATATGCTTTGAAGATGCGGAATGGAAGTTGATTAGTTCAGTATTACTCATCAAGAAGTATAAATCTGTAGATATGCATTTCCCATTTTCAAAGTGTTTTAATTCTCCAAGAGGCAAAACAAAGCCATGGTTCTCTGCCATTGCTAGCCTAAACCCAAGGACATACACTACCACACTGTAAAAACTCCACTAACTTACATGATCTTCAGCACACACAAATAAAAAAAAAAATAAAAGAAACTCCAACTTTCTGCTTTAAAAAATACAAACTGTTAAGTTCAATCAAGAGAAACAATATAACACAAGTTAAATTTCAGCCTTATCCTCCAATGTTTGTAACATATCAATAGCAAACCACAGTAAAGTTATAAAAGTTTGGTAACACTGAGGAAAACTAAATGCCAATATCAAACAAATGCACAAGCACCAACATAATTATGGGTCAAAAGATGATAGAGAATTGCAATGATGATCAACTTCCATTCCGTTTCACCATACATTTATACCCAATTCAATGGTAAGACATTTCATATATCGATAATTGAAAGATGATCAACTTACATATAGCTCTCTTGATTGTTCAGTAATCCACCCTTTCTCGGCGCTCCAACGAGTGTCATGAAATAATTGTATAGGACCGACAGATTCCCCAAGTTGGTTCACTTTAACAGTTCATATCGTCATTGACCATAAAGGCAATTAAAATTAGTAAACAGGAAAACAAAGTTGTATATTTGTATAGATAATCATATTAAATACCTTTTCCTTTTTGTGCTGGATAAAGTTCTCGGAACCACCACGATGGTTACACCTCAACTTCGACCGGTTCTCAGAATAAGTTTTTGACCGTGCCTAACACCACAAAATTTAATATTAAAATACAATGCATATATAATAACATTAAAAGCCATGTTGACCTTACCTGAAACTTTTCACTAGAAAAGAGGTCACAAAGATATATCCAATCATCGAGATCTTTAATTTCTTCCGGTCTATTCTGTAATGCTTCCTCCTTAGTAGCATATGCTTTGAATTTCTTGTGTAGGGCACTCCGGAAGCTATTGAATCTCTTACACAATTTGTGCTTCAGCCATTTCAGTACATGGGGCTCCGTGACATCAATGTCAAATTTGGTTTAAATTCATTAATAATGTACATGCATTAAACTTATATGGGTATTATATATTATTTTCATAAGGAAGTATGACAATATGGATAATGATATTCAAATACATTACCGTGATACGAGCAATCATTTGTTTTTCGACATCGTAGGGACCTTTCTTCCAAGTAAGCACCCTAACGGGGGCATAGTTCCTCGCAACTATTCCTACCTCAGTACTCAACTTTGATGCATTTACTCTAGTAGGTACTCCATCTTCTTTTTGAAAGTTACATGCAACTTCGACTGCGCTGTTTGCATGAGTCTTTCACATCCAACTCCTCTACTCTTCCCTCTCACATTCTTTGCCACAATATTGTCTACAAAATCAAAATAATGCATCATTAGTAAATGATATGTTATTACAATGACGATATACATGTTGGTAAAGTAAAATGTATTCTTAAATTTTAAACAAACATTGTAGACAATATCTAAAATCCAAGTTTATATTTTAGTATGCTTATATGGACCAATATCATAACTTTACCAGTGATTGCGGGAATTTCAGGAGTCGGTACTGGACTATGATTCTATCGAACAACATTTACACGTCTAGCTAGGGTCCTTCTTGTACCAGGAGCCATCTTCAGAATCTGCAAACATCAATTTTAGAATATGTAAAACCAAGGTCTATTGGTCGAAATCTAATGTCCAAAGTTCAGATTACATGAGAAGAATCTCTAACTAGATACTTAAAACTACAAAATCCATAAGGCGAGCAAACAATACATTATTGTAATCTCTAAAAATGAATTACAAATACAAATATTCTGCTAACTGTAATACAGGAAAAATGGCGGTGAAGGCAGAAACTAACAAAAAAAGAGAAATTCCTGCTACTTCATCTTGTCTCCTACTATGTGTGAAAAAAAAAATGTTTAATCTTTTGTCTTGGAATAAATTATAGAATACAAATCTAGAACTAAAATTGTTCTCTTTTTTGTATCAAAAATTACATTACTGAAGCTAAAATCTGCACCTAAAGTTAAGTACCAAGAAATTAAACCTGCAAAACAAATAAGCGAAGGTCACAACCAGGAATTTGTTGCTGCAACGTAATCAAATATGAGATTTATCTAAAAATGGTAACAAAGATATAAAATAAAAACATATGCAGACCAGAGGTGACCAACATGAGAATATATATTAGCAATCATTTCTAAAGATAAGGAATCAAGTGATTTTTAGCATTTGGCTACACAAAGAAGCATGTGCCCTGGACTCAATCACAGAGGAGATAAATGGTTCTCCAGAATATATAAAGAGGTAAGATAGATAAAACAATATAGCAAACAGTTTGAACTGAGAATTTGAGATCGATTTGGAAAGCTCATATATGAAGCTGGAAGCAGAGCAAGAAAGCATACTCTGCATTCAGGATCATACTTTTATCAAATATATCAAGACACAAAATAATTACTCTGTTTATTAATGGAATTGATTCTCCTGATAGAGTCTCGTACAAAACAAATACTATTTTAAGAATAGGTGATCCAGCCTTACCCCTTCTTTAAGAAGGCATTTTTCTCGAAGAGCTAAACTATATTTCTCTAAGCGTTAAAAATGAAGCAATATGGTGTTTGTACCTTCACAGATTTTGAAGTAGTGGTTCCATATACTCAAAATTTAATGGCCTTTTCCCCACCAAAATTTAGAAACAGAAAACAGAAATGAAAATAGAAGAGCGTAGCAGCATATTGCTATAAATTGATATGCAAAGGCTAACAATCAAAAAAGCCACCTAGAAGAATTAAAAGGCATTCTTTTCACACCTCACTAATTACTTTAACATGGTTCATTTGATAGGCCAATTATTTATTCAGTTTTTTCTTGCTACAGTATCATATAATAAAGAACCTTCAGAAGTGTAAAATAGTTTGAACCTAGCTATGAAACCCCTTATAAATAGGAGTATTATTTGTTGTCACATACTTTTCAATTATCCTCTGGCTTAATAAGAGTGCACCATTGTAGATCAAAAGCAAATATCACAATACATTTCAAAAGATGAGCTACATCAAAATGAAATATTGATTAGGAGATTCTCATAGAAAGTCATCCTAGCTTTCTCTATTCTTAATGTTTTCATGAAATAGTACCTTCTCAATACAGAACTGCACTCATCGTGCAATTTGTAGAACATGTTGAAACTCATGGGAAATTTCTTTTTTGAAAAAAAAAAATAAATAAATAAAAAATAACCTAACCTCAAACACCATAACCAGATTATTGGTAGGCAATGCATCTTACCTAATAAAGCAGCAGCTGACCAAAGACCTAAATAGTATTTTAGACTGCCAATAGAAAATTTTTGCAACAAAACAAGTTGAGTAATCTTAATAAAAAAAATCACCTGCTAAGCAAAGATGACAGTAATGTAATCTGCTAGATAAAAGCTTCTTTATGACACAACATGGGGTTCTAATTTTCATTATTATGCATCACGGCAATAACTCAAATAGTGCTTTGCATCATATAGTTTGCAGAGATTTCCTCATATCTAAATTTTTTTTTTGTATTAAATCAGCATGAGCATTACCTACGTCAAAACACATTACATGATATTCCACAGAACAGAGCAGAAGAAGTGAGTCTTTTCAACATTTTCCTCTTCCGTTTCTCTTCAAAATCTGCTTAAAAAAAAGGAGGTTCATGCATGCTCTAAAGCGTAATAAAGCTTTGAAACTCGCTGTTTGAATAATGGTTCAAGCCTGAATGATTGTACTTACGGGAGATTAGGGACTACCTCTTATTGGATGAATGAAGGAAGCCAAGAAGATCAATTGAAAGATGAAGATGCATGGAGAAGAGATGAAGTCAGGTTCTGCATTTCAGAAATTCGGGCAACAATGATTAAGATGAAGACGCGTCAGAAGAGATGAAGATGTGTGGGGAAAAGATATGAAATTTGGGTTGTGAGTTTGGGAAATTTGGGGGAAAAGCTAGGGCAAAGATGTGTGGAGAAGAGATAGATGCGTGGAGAAGAGATATGAAATTGACAAAAATGCTTGCTTTATATAGGTTAGGGAATTCTGTAAATAACTTAAAAAAAGTAAGGGTTCTAATCAGTTATTTAATTTTGAAATATAATTCTATTTTGCAAATAAGTCAATTTGTAACTAAAAATTTAGTCAGTAAAGAGTTAGTGTTAGTTGCCTATAATTTAGGTCTGGCGGGAACAAATAATTTGGGGGGAATATGAATTTTTTAACTTTAATTGGCAACTAAATCAAATTTAGTTGCTGTATATACTTTGAGGCTCTTGTAATTATTGTCCAAATATGGGATATTTTGATAATTTCGTTTTTC